GAATCCCCTCCCTGGCCCTGCTGCCCACGCTGCTCTGGATGCAGCCCGGGACACGTTTGGCTCTCTGGGCTGGGAGTGCCCATGGCTGGCTCATGTCCAGCCTCTCAGCCTCAGCACCCCCAAGCCCTTCTCAGCAGGGCTGACACCAAGGGTTGCCCTAACCCAAGTACAGGACCTTTTACAGTTATTTGACTTTTTGAAAACAAAAAGCAAATAAAGACTAATATATCTTGCCATACTACCAAGTTATAAAATTTTATGCTTATAAAATATGTAATTAAATATGTATATTTAATATAAATATAATTTATAATATAAAATATGTAATTATAAAATTTAATTACAGAATTAACAAAGCTTCAGGATCTTCTTGCATTATACACCTTTAAGGGAATTGAGGAAGGCAAGAATCATGTTACTGTCTTGCATCACACACACTTGTCAGATTTAACATCTATAGCCAGCTTTAAGAATTGTACTGGCTCCATGACGCCTCATTGAAGAGTCTGATCATGGAGGTAGAAAGAAAATCCCAACAACACAATCCCAGAAATTCCTTAGAACTAACAGAGAGTGCACAAAATTTCAAGTTAATTGGTATCATAGAATAGATACCTTCTCAACTTACAAATCATTAGTTTTCTTTGTAGGGAATTTTTATATCATGAATTATATGTGTGCTCACTGTGGAAGACCCCAAGTACCAATTCAACTGTAAGGGCATAATTGGAAGGCCATTTTCTTCTGCTGAGTTCTTATTAAGGCCAATGATGTGCAAGGCAAGATATTGCATAACTGAAGATACTTTTTCACAACCAGCAATGGCAAAAAGCAAAAAAAGTGACAGATTTATTTACTTATTTGGGGGAGTGGAGAAAATAACACACAATTACTTTTGCTGTATTTCTTAGATATACCTCCTTGATCAACTTGATTCTTAAATTCTTGGTAATTCATTGCTCTTGAAACTTTCAGATTCACACCTCAAAGATTCATGACCCTCTAAGAACAAAGTGACTCAGCCTCTGAGAACTGTAACATTCACCATTTAGATGTGTCCATCTTCTATTCATATTAAATGTTAAAATCAAAGTTAGAAGTATAAAAACTGTTCAACATAAATAATTTAACACGGTACTCAAAATTTTTCACACACTAAAGAATGTATTATATTAGATATGATTAGTAAGAAGTATTATTGTTCTGGTCTATCTCCCCCATACAGCTGTTGCTGGTACTGAAAAGCTAACATTTCTAGTAAGCAGCAGCTTCTTTTTAAAAAGTGCAAGTTTCATGACTAAAATGCTAATTCCTAAGCGGCCTGTCACAAAATGTACTGACTCTTTGCACCAGGTAGTTGTAAAGAGGTCCTGCCAAGATCAGAAACAAGTGTTTATGAATGAATCACATCCACCTCTGAGATTTTAAAGAGCATTCAGGGAGGTTACACACCTTTTTCAACCCTAAATTTGTGTAGGTACCACGCTAAGCAAAAGGGTAAGGAAGGCACCAGCACCATTAGACTTGTGACAAAATATAAAGTTGAAAATACTGATTTCTTCATTAATGTGTTGAAAGTGTTGAGTCTGTGACATATCCAGAGCATAATGTGTAGCAGCACTCACCATCACTATGAATGAAGAATTAGTTGGAGACCTGAGCCCATTCATACGTAACCTGCTGTGTCCAACGTGATATCAGCTTTCAGTCAGAATCCAGGAACATTTAACTCCTGAATGCATAAACTTAGTTTTATAACCACAGGATTATGTTAGTGCTTCTTGCACTTAATGGATGCAAGTTTACTACCAAAAAAAACCCAAACCACCATAAAACCATTAAACAAAAGAAAACAAAAACTCCAAAAACTGACTTCTAAGGAGAAAAATAGCAGCTCATGAGAATCCAAAGCACAGTAACACTACAACTGACTGGCAATAACTATTTACAACAGAAATTCCCTTTTTTGCTTAACCACAGCATCATACTGTTCTCAAAGTAAGTTTTTAAGTTTGGATCTGATTTGCATTTCAGGTAGAGATGGCGTATTGATTTAATTTGCAGATATTATTTCCATCATTCTGTAAACAGAAGAGTGACCCAATAGTGTTGTCTTCAGAAGTTCCTTGTTTCTAGAGGTAAATTTGATCCATCAAAAGCAGCTTTTTATTTCTCTAAAATAAAAATCCCTATAAAGACTTTCTATGAAAACGGCACAAATTGTGTGTCAAATTAATTAATTAGAAGTCAAAGAATAATTTTAGAATCAAAATGTTTTGGGTTGGAGTAGACCTTAAAGATCATCTAATTCCAACCCCCTTGATGTGTGCAGGGATACCTTCTCCTAGATCAGGTTGCTCAAAGCCCCATCCAACCCAGCCTTGAACACTCCCAGAGATGGGGCATCCACAGCTTCTCTGGGAAACCTGTTCCAGTACCTCACCACCCTCACAGTAAAGAATTTCTTCCTAACATCTTAATGAAACATGCTTTCTCTTTCAGTATGAAGCCATTATCCCCACAGCCCCCATATAAGGTACCCATCCAGCTCTCCTGTAGGGCTGCTTGATATCAAAAATGGTCCCACAGGCGCTCATGCTACCAATTACATGATGATCAGCACTGGCTTCATCCCAGTAACACTTCCAGCAGTACGACCAGCAAGCTGTGCTCAAACATCTGGACAAGATACACCTAAGCCTTCAGACTTCAGGAGTAAGCTGTGTACAACAGAAGCAGCAACACCACTGCAATTATAATAAATTACCAGACTCAGTTAATGAATGCATACAAGTGAAGCATGCTTCATAGATATTTAACTTAAAAACAATTTATAGCAGCAGGAACCCATGCTCCATGTGCAACTGGGCATTTGGAAGTCACAGGACTATACCACCCTAGAAAATTAAGAAGGATGGGCATGAGCGGCTGTGTATAATGAAGAATCAATAAAGAATTTCTCATATTATACTAAGTAGATCCCCACACAGTGTTTCTTTGACCACAAGAAAGATTAGGATTGAAGACTAGAAGAAAAGAATTAAAAACATAGGCATAACTCTGTCCATCCCTTAGCATAAAAGAAGCAAAACATTTTTAACTTTTTTTGAACAGACACCATTCTTGTTCCTAAAAAAGGAACAAAGGCTGGAGATCTGATGCTGTTTTAAGCCTCACTGCATTCCAGCTACTTCAAGTAGAAAATATACCACAGGTAAAAATCCAAGAAAGCTTACTTTATTTCATTTGAAAAGGGTTGAGCGGGAAAGGCAACTACATATCAGAAATAATAATAAAATATGGATGGATTATAAAAATAATAAAAAATACGGGAAAATATTGAAATAATGAACTATGGGGATACAAACCATCATTGTAAGAAATAAAAAAATTACCTTTCAGAATTTCTAGGTGCTCTATTTATTAACTGCAGCCAACATGAAGTAGAGCAGCCTTCTGCCTACCCTTGCAGGGAGCATAGGCAGTGCACAGAGAAAGCTGAAGGGATGGGGAACTGGAAAGCATATGCTAAGTAGAGAACATATAGATGGTAAAAGTATACTCAGAATTATAAAGAAAAAAAGATAACGATCTCTGGATGGCAGAAAAGAACATACAAATGGAGAAACAATAACCTGGACACTGCTGTTTCTGGGTAGCTGTGCACACGTTAATCATGTTCTAGAATGATTAGAAATATATTTTTTGCCTTATTGAGAGATACTTATTTCCATATCAGAGATTATTCATCTTCTCTTCAAAAGTCCAGGAAGCCATCTATTTCATTTTATAAGATGAATGTTTTCTGCTCAAGTGAACCACGTAAGCAACCACACAGGAGGAACCAATACTGAGTATTATGGGAAAACATTCTTAAAAAGTGGAAGAGAGATTAAAAGCTTTCTGATGGTACAATAACACATGAATAAAGCCACTTTTCCTCACCTGTTGTCATCATCAAAGGGAGGGAGGCAGACTGGAAGATCAGGGTGCTGAAATCAGGTTAAAGAGTGTTGCAGGATGAAGACTGTGTCCATACCTTGGGTGAGACAGCAAAGTGGAAGCTTGGAGACAAGCCTCTGCCCTGTAAGGGGACTGAAAGTGTGAGTGACAGATCATTTCTGAAATGTGTTAATAGAGTCCCACAGGCTACCTGAATCACGTTAAAAATGTCAATCTTCCTGTGGTGTCTACATCAATAGATGACAAAACTAGAAAAATTTCAATACCATCTGCTCAAATAAACCAGAATTTTCCCTCCTCACCTCCCCTCTTCAGCTGTTTTAGTCCCAAGCTTCAAAGCCTTATTTGCATCCATACAAAATCTGTTTACAGTCAACTTCACTGTGATACTGGAGCTTCTCCCCCCACACTCCCAAGACACAAAGTAAAGCTGGCCAGGTGTCTCTAAACCACAGAGCCAGCTGCTCCAAACCAAGCCCACAGGAAATAGCAAGGAAAATATGCAGCATTTGACACATCTGGAATAGATTGCAGAGCCTTTGAAAATACTGTCCCAGTTCCCTTCCTCTTGCTGATGAGATTTCAGGCTTCCAAACTGATGCATCAACTATAAAGGACTGGATAACGTGTGCATTTTTAACCCTGCCTATTCTTTTCCAACCAAATGAGAATTTTTCCAATGTAGTACACAAAGCATGTGTATGAAGCTTCCTATAAAATGCATGGACCAAACAGAAGTAATTCCACCAAAAGTTGCTACTTAATTTGGGAAAATTGATATAGTTGAAAAATAGTCTACTTGAATTTGGTAAGCATAGAAAAGGAAGCAATATTGCCTGCTTTGCATGGTTGCATTAACTCCTTAAAAGAAATGTCCTCACAGTTTGTTATAAAACATGAGATGAAAAAGAGCAGGGAGGGTAGGTTAGTACCTATTTTACCAGGTAATTTGTCTGTAATTCCATGTTGACATGAATACTGCAGTGTGCATTTTTCATCATGAAGGACAAAAAAAACCCAAAAAGCAGTAAGTCTTAATTAGCAAAACAAAGCAATGCTTTATTATTCGCTTCTTTTTCATCTGGACAATGAATGCAAAAGAACACAGAAACAAATAGAAGTTTAGAAGGAAATCCCAATAGGATATTGAACATAGTACTTAACTTTCTTCTTTCCATAAAAAGCCAAGAAGTAGAGGTGCCCCTAAAATTTTAGTCACTATCAGTTATCTCTGAAAGATTAGGAAAATGAAAATGTTTATATATGCATATTTTAAACATTCATTATAGATACAAAACTCAATACAGCACTAGCTTAACACAACATAAACCTCACTGGTTTTAATGTTAGTAGTAAAAAAGCAGAATTCTAATTAAAAATAAAAATGGAGGAAACTATTTGTACTCTTTTTCCTCAAAGGTGCAACCGACAGCCAATGTATTTTTGCAACTGAGATTCCAGTTGTACAAAGGACTGAGAGATGTCTTCTTCTATTTAAAGAAGAAGCATAAATTTCACAAACTTTAAAAGAAACTACATGTGCATGAACTGTAGACAGTACCCCTTACAGAGATGATATTTATAAGAACAAAATGGTATACCTTAAACGAATTAAGGGCGAGGTAAAACACGTTTTCTACTTTCAGAGCTTTAAAAAAACCTTTTTCCTTCTTCAATTACTTCCCAAATTACCTTGCATTTAAACTAGTTTGTTCTTATGAAAGTAGTATTTATTCTAAACAAGCATTATAAAGTAGTTGTATGATTTTTATTTGAGAAGCACTCAATGTGGATGTTGTATTTATAGTGACCTCAAGAATGCAAACCTCCAAAATTACATCTACTACTAACTAAACTTTTAATAGCCAATTAACAAAAAATATGTATATAGCTCTAAGATTAAACAAAATTTAGATAATATGCTGTTACAAAATATATTTTGACATATTTCCTAAGAAGCAATTAAAACAGTCATTTATGCAGAGTTATTTACAGGGGACTCAAAGTGTATCAGTTTTAGCACAAACCAGTATACTGGTTTGAATTCAATGTAATACTGGCAAATCTAAGTTTGTGACAAAGAGCTTTGGGGTTTAGTAAACTTAAAAATGTTCTATACAATCATTAGATGAATCTAAATTATATAAAAGAAAACTATCTGAACTGCTTAATCTGAATCATTTAATGCATTTCATTGTACTCAGAAATTCAGATCATCAAGTCAGTGGTACATACAAGTTGTGAAAAAAGATACCACTCAAATCTTTCAGATAGAACAAGCACAGATTAACTGAGTCTGTCTGTACCTAATTTATACTTACAGATAGTTTGTTTTTACCTCAATACCATCTTTCTAACGAGCACATATCCAAATGTGCTAAAACAAAAGGCAGCAATTATAAATATTTACTAGAATGACCAGAACTGGTACTTGATCATAAACATCCTGTCATTCATTTTTGAAGCCATATTTTCATTAATTTGTCTTCTGGTTTTAGTAGTCTTCTATCTTATTAACTTGGAGGGTTACAGATCGTCTGGAAGTTTCACACCAGCATAGGAAAGGAATGTCTGTTCGATGCAGTCTGGAGATAAAGAAAAAGTTGTGCTTCAGTTCATCGCTGTGACTCACCAGAAGCAGCGTTGCTAAGTGACCAGCAAACCTGAACTGCAAGCAAAACAGCAGCCTCCCCATCCCCCGTGTCAGGATGGGAGAAAAAACACAAAGATTTACTGTTATTTTATTATGATTTCAAAAGACCACCTATTTCCAGCTGTAGGGGTGTTCTTATTCATTAAAATTAACAATCAGTGTAGAGGAGACACACTAGAGGAGCTTACTTGTCTACACAAGAACAAGGACATTTAAATGTGATAGCAATTAATTTGAACTTCTTGTTTCAGCAATTAAGATGCTTCAAAAACATAACATTTACATGTTCATCTTTCTAAACACCTCATAGACCTTATGAGCCTGCAGCCTGCACATCTCTCAGTGGTGCTTACACAAAAATAAAAGATTCAAAGCCACTGAACTCTGTCAGAACAGCTCATTAACTTCAGTAAGTCCTGGGTTAAACAGTGTTTTGTCCCAACGCAGAATTTTAATTGCAGAAGAGCAAGGAATCTCAGGCTGGATTATCCTACACTTTCACTATTCTCTTCAAACTACAGTTCTAAAATACCATTTAGTCCTAACAACTCTTCTTAAAATATTAAGTGTTAAATATTAATATTAAAAATATTTTATTTACTTTAATTAATATTAGAAGTATTTTCAAGCTTTAATGCACTGAAAGCTAACAGATATTTTCAGTCACATGTCTACAAATTTCAGTACTCTGAAGAGGTTACCACAACAGTAAGAAAAGAAGCCATATTTAACTATTGCAAAAAGGCAATGACGCCATGTAGCTGCCAATTTTGATTGGTTGCTAAAGGGAAATATACACCTCAGTTAGTTAATATACTGCATAATTTGGAAAAAAAAAGACATTTAAAAGAAATATTATGTCACAGTTATGTTAACAGATTTTTTTCATAATCAAGTGCATATTGTATAGCACAGTCAGCATTAGCTGTTTTAAAATATTTCTTGCCATCTTATATAAAAACAACCACGGGTTTTTTTTCAGTCAAATACTGCCTCCATTTTCAGGCTTCAAAAATGTGTTTCAGGTTAATTAAAATTGATTCTGTGATCAATCCTGGAGAAAATTTATAAAAGACTTTTTTTTAAAGCAAACATAGCTTCTCAGATATATCATAACATAGTCTTTAAGCATTTTTAGTGAAGTGCAGAGCAATGAAAATGCTGCAATACTTATTTCTAGGCTTAAATTTATATTGTTATGCAATTTAAATAAAAAAAAAAATGAATGCAAATAAAGACCCCTAGTTTAAGTTACATAGTCAAGTCCAATAAATCCACTTAACGGATAAATAGCATTAAAAAAAAAGAGTGGATACGTGCCAGAATGATTAGTCAGCTACCTGAAGGATACATAAAGCACATTGTTGCATACACAATAATCATACTTGTACATGACTGTCTTAATCCAGTCATGTAAAGAGAGACAATATTCAACTATTGTTTGCATGTTCAGACCCATGTCAATCAGATTTAATATGCAGGCAGATTAGTGCTTCCTAACTTGCCGACAACAGGTTGACTACTAAAGTCAGTTTTCCAGCACAAAGGACAGTATCGTGACAGCAGCAGACACTGTTTCTCAGGAAAAACCACATGTTCCTCCTAATTTTTGTTGCTGAACATTAGTTCCAGGGAAGACTGGAGGCAATGAGGATGCATTATTTGTTTTCAAGTAGGAGACTTCACACATCTCCAAGCCCATGAAGAATATATGTTCAATATTCAGGACAGATGCTCAAAAATTATGCAACTTCTACATTGTGACAGAAGTTTGATTATTTATTTTTTAGTATTTCTTTCTTCTCTGTTTTCCTGGGAAAGATAACCTCAGCACTAAAAAATGGCTTACCTTCAGTACAAGAAAAAAAATCTTGTTCTGTGAGCAGCTGCCATGCTTTCAGACATATTTCTGACTTTAAGATAATTAACAAAGCCTCGAAAGAACAGGAGGAGACCTGAAAGTGTAGTAAACGCACTAAATTAATTCCATTAACATAAATATATACTATACCACATTACTCTTATTAATGATTTTAAAAATCTAGCCTACAAAGTAAATTGAAGTCTTTATCATTCACAAATTCAACAACCAAGCTAGCTTTCATCGTGTGATACAAGGATTCAATTTTATGAAAGGTTTTTCACAAATTTTAGTGATTTTCAGTTTAAGCGTCATCTGTGAAAAAGACTGCATGAAAATACTTACAAAGAATAAAAAAATCCTGAAAAGTAAAATCTGATTTGCAAATTATTTTCAAGTAGAATTCTCAAAATAAATTACTAATGTGTTAGAAGAGTACCTGGTTTACAAAATGTACCTTTAACAATGTGCACAATAAATGTACTGCAAGTTAAAGGAGGAAAAAAAAAAAGACAAAGTAAGGCTTGCTCTAGTGAGAAGTCAATAATGAATTATAGTAGCTTATGACTTGGGATTTAACCATCGATCAAAAAACACCTACCCAAGCAGAGGAAGAACAATTGCCAAAGGAAATTTCTCAACATATTACTCACAATATTACAGTTTTTGCCAACTCCAAATTTCAAAATCTTTTAAATTATCTACGTTTCTCTGCATTTTAAAGAATATTTCAGCTAAGAGGAAAAAGATGTACACAACAGTCACAGAGAAGTCACATTTGCAATAATGGTAGCTTGAAGATATACACTTATGTGAATATACACATGTGCATTAAAATTCCAAAAGATCAAACAAAAATCTACACTGAGGTTTTATAAGTTCAGCAAAGGATTTAATTATTTTCTTTCCTACATGATGCACTTTTTCTTCCTGCTGTCCTGGATGAGCCCCTGATTTTTTCTAACGATCACTTATTCTCTAAAATATTTTTGTTTGTGATTTTTTAACTTTCCTTTTGCTTTTTTAAACCAAAGCTTCATTAGAACATGCATGCAAGCAAAAAAAAAAAAAAAAAATTAAATAAGACAACAGAGAATGCTCTGTCAACCAGTAGAACTTCACCCAAGCCAGATACATTCCTGTGATTAAGGCAAATTCAACACAGAGAAGAAAGCAGTAAGATCTTGACTGCAAGTCTACAACAAAACCTGCTACCCAAAGGCCACCAGACATAGCCTCCCTTTCAACTGAAAAGAAGCTGAAAGAGCAAAATGACAGCAGGCAGCTCTTTAGGTGCTTGATGACATTTTTTGCATTATACATGTTGGAAAACCAGTCAAAGCTCAACCCATATTTTACATTTCTCTGTTAAAGGAAGAAAGAAAAAACACTTTCCATTGTGCTCCTCAATAAGAAACACTGGCTAACATTTAAATTTAAAATTTAGAATTGTCTCTCTCCAATTTTTTCACTGTACATGACAGCTCTTTGGAAGTAGACCACTTTGCTTTTCCGTGACACATAAGCAATTTTTCCAGATGTTGAAAGAAGGAAGGCAAGCAGAAACAGATCGAACACCAGAAGAGAGGAGATGGAAGTAGGTGGGCTGAAGGATGTCAAAGGGCTATGGAAAAGAAAAACTCAAACTCATTCCCTTCTGGAGAGATACTGGACATACTACTTTGTGTGCTCTAACAAAAGGTTATCCAAAACAAAGAAACACAGATCTCGTTGGCAGTGCTCCCATGACATGATAATACTCCTCCATGTCTTGCTAAGTAGCTTTTTTAGGTAGAATCCTTCCATGGTGTTCTAGCAATACCATATAGCCAGTTTATCACTTTAAAAAAATTGTTGGCATATTTCATGCAAAACATACATAAAACAAGGGAATGCTGATTGCTGTATGCCTCAGTGCTTTTTATTCCAAAGCATATTATAAACCTGGTGATTCAAAGAAAAAATAAAAAATTCTCAAACACTTCAGACCAAAAATAAGGCTTTGTCAAATTAAAGTGAGCTACTTCCTGAACATAAAAGACTAGTAAAAGGAAAAACTACAGCTTTTTCCAAAGACATGTGGGGATGGGGGGAGTTCTAGGGGAAGAATACTATTTTCATCCTAGTGAAAAAAGGTGTCGAACCTCAATCTCAGGCACCACAGTGCTTGGTTTTAATTAAAAACTTATTTGGAGATGTTTGTGCCTGCAAAGAGTCATTTCACTTCAATGTCTGTTTGTCCCTGCAAAGAGTCATTTCACCTACTTCAATACAATAACCTCAAACAACACGAAAATATTCAAGGGACCAATGCTCTGATGTGTTAAACATTTGCAGCTTTTATGTATTCCAAGCAACGAAGTGCACAATAGCAGAGCAAGGTGGGCATTAGAAAGTCTGATGAATGCCCTTGAACACCACTAAAGGCAGAGAGAGAAATTTTTAGGTAATGTTGTTTAAGACTTTTGGTATTTCTTGCAAGATAAATAGCGAGTCACTAACAGTGAAGATCTCAGAATTGGTGTTTTTTATTAACTTACTCAATATTTCATTCTAACATCTGCTCTTAGCCACTTAAATCAATTGACTCAAAGGGAAGAGTGCCACCTACTGAACCAGCAACAGTTTACCGTGCTTCCAAAGCTGGAAACAGAAATTAAAATGCATAACAGCATTCACTTCCGTAAAAGAAAACCATTCCAGATGCCATATTCGTATTACAAAATCATTACGGATTATAGTTGGAGAAAAGTTATAGTGGTTGGAGTTCGGTACATCCTCATTAAAAAGAAACAGAAGAGAAGAATTTGATGTGCATAAGACTTTGAACATGAGCAGGCAGACTCTTAAGAGAAAGCTGACATCATGGGACCACTGTGATCAGCAAGCATGAAGCCATTCTCTCATCCTACCGAGCAACTGCTGATGCAGTTTGCATTTCAAAGGACTCAAAGGACATTTAGTGACCTGTGCACAAGTCAGCAGATTTCAACTTCCTGGGTTTAGTCACATTTCTTAAAATTTAATACTTGACACGTAGGTTTCTACACGTAAATACTACTTATCACTGACTTTTCAATACATTCTCTACATAAAGCCAAAGTTTCATTACACAGTACTGCACTCCTAGATCAGTAGAAGCACAAATTAAAAAGCACAAATTACAAGTCTGTTCTACACAATCTCATAAGCAGAACAAAATTTTTTGAGCTGAAGAGTATTTGAATAGTCCACAGTTCACACAACAACACCACTATGGTAACCAATAACTTCATGAATACTAGGAAAATTAAAATACCATACAAAACTATCAGCAGCTAAGGAAAAGCACATAGCTAAACATGTTACTAAACTCTAATTTACAATAACATGATTCATCTTTGAGTACTTCCACATCAAAACAGAAATTAATTCAACTGCCACTTACCAAGTACAAGAAATATCCACCAAAGCCAGTACTGTCCATTGAAATATCCAGTAAAATAATCTGAAAACTGAAATTCATACATGAGGCTTAGCTGCAGTAAGACAGATGACTAGCACATATTTAATGCACTATGCAAATAGAGAAAGCATGGAGGACAAAGCAAGTTAAAATAAAAGCAATGTATCCTACTAAAACGCAAAACTAGTATTTGCACAGCAGTTTAATACACAAATAACACAATTCTAGTGTCAGTTGGTTTGCCGCAAATTAAGTAAAAATCTCTAAAAAAATGTGTAGCCATAGAAATACATATATATATATGAAAAACATCCTTGTATTACTTGCCAGTAATCTGAGGTTTTTATTATAATGAATCACCACTTGTTGATTTTCCCTTTTTCCCCCCAGTGCCTGCCATCCCAAACACATTACAGCAGCCTGCTGCTTTGGATATTAACACGAAAAGCCACATTAGTTTAATCTTATCAGACAGGGATGTTCTGCTGACCCCACAAAAGAAGAGCTTTTGACCTTCTGTATACCCCCTACTGTTAATCGCTGCCACAAATACCAGCCCCATAAAGACCCCCAACTCATTAAAGTCTTTTCATTTTCAAACCAGCATTCAGTTCCCAGCAGTGAGCTGAACGCAACTAAATGAACCTTGAAGTGCCATTTCAACTGCTCCTGCGAGTGACCATGGCAGACAGTTTTGTCCTCCCTGTGAAGTGGGAGGCAGCTGGAGGGCAGGGTGTGATCACACTGGAGACAGGTATCTGTGCCTTTACCAGACTCCAGACTTTATGCTTCACTGATAAAAAGGCTAATCAAATGTCTCCAAAACCCACACAAAAAGTAGAAATGGGGAGATGAGTGAAGAGTTGCCAGAAGGAATAAAATAACCTACTTAGCAGCTCTGTACACTTTCCATACACTTTTACCCTGCTATCATTCATTATGTTTACTGCATCCTGACAGTGCTTCTTATGTGCCCTTTCTAGGACATTTCAGTATATCAGCCAAGCAGTAACAAGAGGGGAAACAAAAAAAACCCTGAACAAATAAAAGAACCCCTACAAAAACAACAAAACAAAAAACCCCAACGAAACAAAAACAACCAAAACCTATCAGCCAAAAGATACTGGGGCACATATGCAACCAGATGAAAATCTAAGACATTTAAAGAACACTAGATAAAGCTGGCTTTTTTCTTCAATTAATCCACATATTTTCTCCAGAATAAGGTCAGGTCACATGAACTCTTTTGAGGGTTTAATCTTATATACTCTATTAATTTCTTACATCAATCAAAGAAAAAATAGCAAGAAACAGAACTGCCAAGTTCAGCTAAAGAACTGGTATTTACATTATCCCAATATAAATACTCAATGCCAAGGATTTTGACAACACATTGACATTGATCCCATCTCACTTGTTAGTCACGATTTTCGATTGTCTAAACATTATATGTGTGTGCTTATAAATACAATATCAATATCCTTTTCCAATAGTTGTAATTTAATTTAATTGGAAAGAAGATTTACTAAAACCAACAATCAAATACTTGCCCATGTGCATTACTCTCCTCCCCTACTCTCCTTGGGTAGAGTCAGCCATGGCAGCAGAATTTCCCCTATAGTAAAATTGTGCTTTTGTTCCCCCTGCTCTTCCTTCTCCCCAGTAAAAATTGATATAGATCAAGCATATGCGAATTCAGATTGTTTAGACACTAAAAAGTTTTGTACTACTGATCCAGAGTGAAAAAGAGTGACACAAGCCTTTGGAAGATCTTGAAAGAAAGGAACAGAACAATTTGGTGCACACAGGCCTACTGGTGTGTCACCATTAAAATGACTGTTAACACAACACCTCATAAGCTTTCTGCTCTTGTCTCTAGGAAGGGAGACAACAGAGGAACATGATGATCTTCATTATGAAAAAAATCCCACCTTGAGGTCTTGGAATTGGCCAGCTCTAATATTTTTGAATTAGTAATGGATTATATACAATAATTTAATTATAGTCTAGAACACAGTAATTCTACAAGGAAGTTTGACATATATTAATTTTTATATTCATTTTGGGCACATTTTCCAGGAGAGAGGAATAAAACTGACATGATGAACAAGTTCTGCCCTCTATTTAGTATGCCTTAAGGGAAGCTGAAAATATCCCAAACCCCTTAAGATAAATTCCATCTCAGCACCTGAATTCCAACAAATACACCAGAATCACATCTAGTCCAGCAGCATTTCCCTGCTCTGAATAAGCAAAAAGGAAATTAAGGGAAAAAAAAAAAAAAGCCCTAAGAAGGATGTAGATCATGTCCAAGAAGGGCCATGCAATCTTTCAACCATTTTTTTACTACCGTGATAAGACTAAATCAAGTTACTAACACACACACAGGAAAAAAAAAATTAATTAAAACAGTCATTGATGGCAGAATATGAAAGATATGCAAGTTATCCAAGATCTTTTTCTTTGTTAAAAGGGACAGGATTTTAAATGTTGTGTCTCACAGATATGTAGAATTCACAGTCAGAAAGCAGCATTGCATTTCACCCAGCATCCACTTAATTAAGTAACTTGCATTTGGCTAATATGCCTTTTGGAAAAGTATCTAGTTTTGCAGTGAAAACATCAAGAATCAAGCATTTTAAGATTGTAAAAATGTGACCAACTTCATATTTAAGTTGGACCTGATCCCATATGTATCTTACACAGAATAAAATAATAAAACACAAGGAAGAAATGCTTTCTTATATTCCCTTCTCAACAGGCCAAGACACTTACACATCTTTTATACATGACACTATAATACCAGTGATATTTTAGGTACTTGCTCCATTTCTTCTGTAGACTTTTAAATACTTGTACAAGGAATGAGTCATCCTGCATTTATTTTAGTGAAAATGTGAGCATCAAATGCAATATCAGGTAAAAAAAGAAAAAATACTGGTTCTCAATTCCCTTATTAGACCCTTGAATAAATTGTTATGGGTTTGTTCTACAGAGCCTGTACAGCGTGAATCAAGAAACATACCCGTACAATGAGAATCCATTTGATCAGGGAGAGACCAAATCCACAGATTGCACCATACCTTCCAGCTATGGTATTTGTTATACAGAAGGATAAACAAAATCCAATCCAGTTGAAAATAAACGCCACTATAAAATAAAAGAAACAGTAGCTTCTGTTAATCTGTATAGCTAAGCAAACAGACTTAACAGTAATTTCACTTTTAAACTACTAAGGACATGCTTACACAGTCAGTTAATTCCCTTCCGGTAATTCAGGCTTTTAGAGATTGACTTTGAACCCAGACATTCCCCATGGTATAGTCACTTAATGACAAAGCAAATGGTAAACAGGCTGGAACCTACTATTTTACACAAGAGAAAATTCCAACATAAAAGAAAGTGTTACACTGCAATAGACACCTAACAAGATTATACTGGACATGAAAAGTAAATTCACAAAAAGGACTATAACATACAAGATTTGGATTAAAACAAAGAAAAACCTTGCTAAACTTTTATAGCCAAAAATATAGTTATATGCACACATATGTGCATGCATCAAGGCTGCATATTCAGCTTTATCCAGTTTGGATCGAACAGAATAAAAGTATCCACTCTTGCTCCAAAAACTTAGTGTAGAAATTAAGGTAAGTCAAGAAGCTAATGTTTTATGGGTTTCTTTTAGATCCATATTCATGTCTTCTCTTTTAGATCTATATTCACAAGACATAAGAAGCCTTGAAAACTTTACACAGAAGTTTACGAAATCAATGAACAAAAAGGACATTAAGCATAACTACCACTCTTGCTTCAATTAACACTTTTACACAACCCCCAGTTCAACAACTTAAAGTTTCATATCTGCATATGTACTTGGCAATCAGCATCATCATCATCTGTATTGACTTCAGGTTGCATGCATTACATCAGAGTGTGTGAATTCACAGTTAGGGGAATGGCCCAGATTGGGAATCAGTGAGAGCATCCAAAAAGAAAACCACCAAACAGAAGAGCTGGAGGAACTGGTAGAAGAAGGCAACTCAGGAATTCTGGAGAGAATATGACAGTGTAAAATTGAAAACATTAGGGAACTCCACAGTAAATAAAAGAATTACAGAGGAGGGAAAGAGGAATGGAAAAGGGGCAGAGGGGAACAAAACCCCTGTCCACAAATTCTTAAAGTTTAAAATCCCTGTCCACAAATTCTTAAAGTTTAAAATCCCAAACTTAGCTACATAAAATTCAGATATTAAACCATCAGAGGAAAAATAAGTCTGTCTCTTCCATTCAAGTTTGAACACACAACTAGGAACAGAAAATTGCTCAAACATTTTATTTAATTGAAGCATTTTGAAATACTATCTATAAAATCCCCACTGTTTGTATACTTTAAAACCTTCTTACAGTTCTTCCAATAATCCACACGAAGATGTAATGATATTCTCACAAATGCAAAATTAGTCTGTAAAGCTGCAGTGGGATTCCATCAACTTTAAACAAACTGAAGTTCCAAGAGAAGTTTTGGAAGGCTTCACATCAAAACAGTCATTTAATACAAGTGAGAAAGCACCTTGCATTGGTCAGAGGCATGGATAACAGGTGATGGTAACAAGAAATCTTACTTTTATACAAATTACTAATCTAAAAATAACCCAAAAAATAAATCAAAACAAAATTTAAAAAAATTAAATCTCTGAACAGATGTTGATCCAAACTGGCATTTGCAGAGGAAACAAACTAAACCAATCCAACCCCCACTAAAAAAAACCCTACAGAACATTGTGACCCTAACATTTACCTATCTTTCCAAGCCACATTTACATTTAGGAGAGCCTAGATAAACTGTTTTGATTTTCCTATTTTAAGCAAGCTCTACAAACCCACCATCTTTTAACAGTAACAGATTTCAAAAGCTCCTTATTCAGTGCATTCTCTGATCCTGTCTCAGCATAAGAACTCACTGCTCTTCACCCCAGTACTCAAGCTGCAGAGAGTGACTTTGATTATGGTTAGGTGTACCTAATGACAGGTCTCTTAAAAAGGACACAGGATTCACATGTTTCTAATGGTCTATGAGGACTAGAGAAATGTTCAGAATATGTACAATTTTAATACATATATTTTTATTAAAGTACCTCAACTCATTTTTAAATACATTAGAAAAATAAGAGATTTCCCAATCATAAATACAGGAGGGGAAAAAAATATTTTTTATAATTAAAGAGGAGCACTAACAATTTTACCCTACTTTCAACTCTAAGGGAATATTCAAAATTGAAACCACTGTCACTGCATGAGTATTTGATGGATATTTAACATCAAGGTATTTGCCCAACTCTTGAAATTAAAGGCATCAGCATGTTCCAGTCTTGTTCATAGCAAGGGTTTTCTTCTGTCTAATCAGTCTGCTGTTACATCAAGTTACATAAGCAGCAATGCAAGCAGAAAATACATAAACCTTATAAAAGCTGTAAATTATGCAAGTTCAGGCATTCCAATAAAACTGAAGTATATACAGAAGAAAAATCTCCTTATTTAAGTCTTTATTGCTAACCATTTGCTAGAAAACTTGTACAGTGAGGACCTAATCAAAAATCTGTGTCTTCAGCAGCAGAAGGGACATGTTACTTCCACTTCTCTAAAACTCAGGTAATGCATTAGGGAGATTCTCCCAACACTGCCTTGGTGTTCCATCATTTTAACAAACTTAAGAAGGGCAACAATACTGTCTGCATGTTTCCCATCTTTCCCATGACTTCTCTCTTACATCCCATGTCCTACTACTACTTTGAAAATCATTCTCTTTGTCTCACTGGTTACAACAAAATATTTGCTTTCAAAATTGCATCTCCAGCTTCTCAGCAGACTACAGTTCCTTCCAATTGCCTTTCTCTACATCAATATCAGCCTCATTTGCCTATCTTTTTCATTATATGCATCCTTGTGTATCTTCTATCAGCCATGCAAGCTCTGATCTTTACAACTTACACTACATTGGAGTTACTGCAGTTAATTCCTGTCTCAACTTATTATTGCAATGACAGTTGTTCATAATTTTCATCCCTATGTTGCCACAGAGAAGCCACAGCACAAGCTCCCCCATCAAGCTGAGGCAGAAAATAGACCAGTGAGGGGAGTGAACAGTAAAAGGAATTATGTACTAATTTCTCTAGAATTACCAACCTCCTTCTCTATCTACTAGAGGCAACTAAGTTGTTGTACAAGTTCCTTGCTGTGACAAATCCTATCCTCCATTATTTTTCTGCATCCACTCATTTTGTGAGTGCTCAGTGACACCGCTCAGCTGTTCAAGAGGTGACCTCATCCTTCATACCACATCAGCTTCCATGACATTCCCACACAGACAGTGGAGCTGCCACAACAGCAATAACATAAGGAAAGCCATTCCTAAAACTGAGGGGGAAAAACAATTAATGATCTACTTCAACCACATCATGATTCTAACTAAAAAAGAATTCCAGTTTCTGCTTGCCTATTCTCTCCATGCAGCCAGGTTATGTGTGCATCCTGTAGACCTCCAGTACAAATCAAACCACTGTGCAATAAGAATTGTTTTCTATCCCAAAAGTGATCACATTCCTACTTAAGCCCAATATTCAACTACTGTCAACTTTCCTTTAATAAGTTTCAGATATTTAGGTGAACTCATGCTGACTGCACTGGCATCATGATTTAAGTTTCTACTCTTGATACTCTAGCACCATTCAGAGAAGTGGGACTGATAAAAGTATGATTTTTGAATTTTCTAACTCCTGAAGTGATGAAGAGAGAGTAAGTCTATATAAATGTAATTCACATTAAAAGAATGTAAACATTAGCATTATCTCCTCATGACAACAAAACTCATAATGAAACGCATAAGAAATTGGTATTTTGGGAGGAGGAGGGTTCGACTAAAGGTCTTTTTTAATAAACAATATTGGTGATGCAATGCAGTCGCTACATTTATGCTGTATTTCTCCTTCACGTTTTCAGTAAAATAATCCCAGCCAAAATACAAAGTACAGGACTTTTGAGTTGTACATATTGAAATACACCAGATGAAACTATAATGACAAGTGCATTACACTGTAATTTTTCCCCAGATGCTCCAGCACTTCACCTGCTGATCTTTTTTTACTTAGACTTCCACAACTACACATCAATCACTTGTTTTAAGCTTATATTCAGTATCATGAAAAGAAGCCAGTAAAACTGATCTGAAGCCTTATGTTCCAAATTTTAGCCATGGCTTAAGCCTGTAATGAGATTATCATGGCAACTACATACACAAAAAGCAACTTATGCTCAGTTATAGCCTTTATTCCACAATTTGTTTGTTCATTTACTTACTATTTTAATATTTAGCAAACACACAAGAGCTTAATGTTTTCTACCTGGCCTAGACTTACTAAGCATACTGCAGTAATAAATAATCCTCTCCAGATCTTCATGCACCATTAGGAAGTGTTCTTCCCAGTCCTGTGTACAATTTGTTTCACTACTCTTTAACGGGGATACATCTTGGCTCCATCCTGAAGGTTCAGTTACAGACTGATGATGATCATTAGAAGTGTTGGCTATCAGCTTCCACAGAAAACCAATAATTTTTTTTCTTAGTGATTAATGTTCAGAAAAATTCCTTAGCATTTTGTTCCTACTTCTTGTTGCTATGTTTTTCTTACTACTCAATTCAAAGCTTCCTCATTCCAACTGCTTTGTATTATATCTAAGGCATACAGAAAAAACTATGTAAGTCAAATTGTTTCTACAGTAAGAAAGAAGTTAGGTGATTGTGTATGAAGGTCAGTCAGTCCGTCCATAATGACCAGAGAGAAATAAGAACTCAAAACAGTTCCTCTATCTCCCAATATTTAAAATTTTAATTAAGTGACTTCTCTTCAGCTTCTCTGACATGACTAAGGGAAACCTGCATAACATTTGTGATATAGACATACACAACTCAGGTTTCCTAAAGTTACACGGAGGAAGCCCCCCATGGGAAATTCAATCATGCTTACCACTCCTCAGGAAGCGCACACCAGGACACTGTTGTTCACCCTGAGCTTGCGCTACAACTCTGCCTTCCAACTTGGGCCCCTTGAAACCCCCAAAGTAGGTATCCCAGCTTGTGTGTGCTTTATTGACTGTTTGAGGCACTTAACAGTTTTGAAAACTATATGAACATTCATTTATAAAACTTTGGTACAGTTATTTTCTGTTTCAATATAGTATCTAGGACACCATGTACATTTCTACTTCCCTGTAAAACAAGATTTTATTGCTGTGAGTTGTATACAGTGCTTAAATAGCCTAGATGTTAAAAAAAGGACAGATTTCTGCATGAGAATTTAAGTTTTGGTTGTACTACTGGACACTTTTCTCCATTTTATCTTCTCATTAACCTACCTGTGAAGTTAGAATTCATTTTCCCTATATTGCAGGGAAACAAAACTCCCTTACATGGTTTTAAAGAATTCAGATAAGCTCCACAATTCCTCTTGGGGTCCACAGGAAAAAAGGTTGGTTCTAAAGCATTCCTTTAATATAAAGGAAATATAAAGCCTTTTAATATATAAGCCTTTTAATAATGTCCAAAAGGACCTCCTTCACATAATGTATGTGTATGAGTTTACCAGACATAATTCAAAAGACTTCCACTACAAGCAGATGAAGCATGAAAACCGAACCATTTGTTCGTGACACTTACTTGCCCTATCACAATTACAGCTGTGTTCAAAATGGAAAGATACAGCTCAGAAATTCCTCCCTTTTGTTGTGCATACAAAAAAATACTCTGAGAAACTCGCCTACTAACTTCCTCTGGCATTCTAGAAAATTTCTACTATGCTGTATAAGGCAGAGCTGACTTAAAAATACAAAACAGAAAAAAATACATGAAGTGGTCTGATAACAATTTTTTTTTCCCACTTTGCATTTATAGCAAAATAAATATACTCATATATATACACACTTCCTTCAAAATAAGAAGGTGACAGACACCAGTCCTGACCATTAGAGAGCAGATTCTTAGCTCACCAACATAATCACAGACTAAGGGCAACACCAATTTCCTGAAACACAATTTTACCATATATTAGAAATAAAGTAGATTGTTTTCCAAATTTTTTCACCAAGTTTCTGGATCAAGCAATAAAATCCACCACTTCAGCCAAAGGACTTCATTTTTTTAGTGTGCACTGGCTTACTCTGTTTTGTTCTGCTAAACAGAGCAACACTTCATAGCTTAGACGGGAAAACAGGTTGGTAACTGACATGCACCAGGCTCCTAAAACAACCAAACCCCCCCAACAAACAGATCTGGCCACTAGATGGCCTGGAGACAGCAATTTTCTGCAACATGGACAGCGACCACTAGATGGAGGCTACATATCACTAAGTGACTGCAATACGCAGGTAAGCTCAGTAAAAAGTTTATTTTGCTGCATTTCACTTGAATAAAATGAAATTAAAGAATGCGAACTTGCTGTTATAAAAACAAAGCGATCTGCCCCCTCTTCCATCCCCAAGGTCTTCCAAAGCTGTACTTGATAGTCAGGGAGGAGGTGGGAGAACACATCTAACAAGCCATTTGTTCACTCTTATTTCACGAGAGAACAGTTCTTGAGACAGTTCTCCTATATTTTAACTATGTGAGGGAATTTGAGGCTTTCTGTGATCTGCCACCTCTAATTGCAGCATTTCCCACTCTTGGGAAAAAACCCAAAAGATATCCTTACTGTAAACTTCATTTTAATTGCTGCTCTTCTACATCTACATACATCAACTTTCTGGAGACTTTTTTTCTCCTTATTGGACAAACATGAATACACAACCCACATATAACATATACTTGCATTATGTTAAGCTCAATTTTCATTTAATTCTCCAATTTCCTAAGAAAAACTTCTAAAACCTAACGTTACACTTCTATTACTATCATGTAATTTCATGTGTAATAGTAATTTCATTACTATCATGTGTTTTCATGAATTCCTCCTACTATGAGCACAAACAGCAAATAAAGTTTATTAATTTCCCTATGTAACCAGTATTTATAACCCACACATTGCAATTAAACACACACTTGCATAAATACCTTACAATGTGTAAGTATTCATTTTATGCATTTCTTTCATAGGTAAGCAAAGTTTGCAATAAAATAATCTCAGAACAATTATGAAAAATTATGTTCTACAGAGTATTTTTGTCCAATGTCTAACAGCTGCTCTACGCAATCAGACCCCGTTAAATACCTATTGGAAGAGAAGGCTGCCAGTTTATCCAAGTACATACTTGTATTCTTGAAGGTGGACACAGGGTTCTGGGAATGCAATTTTGGACATCTGTGACTTAAACGACTTAAGACATATTAAAGCAAATGATCTCCTTGGCCTCAAAGCGCACTGCTAATGAAGGCCTGAACCAGAATTTAAAATAAAGAACAATTTCACACAATAAAGGATCTAAATAGGTTAAATACAAAAATTATAGAACATAGAAAAGGGAGAGGAAAATAAAGCAAAAAAGAAAAATTAAGTCACACCTCCCTTTGCCCCCAAGAACATACTCTTTCTAGGCTCCAACTACAAAAAGAGGTCATACTACAATATCTACTCTATAAATGTCTTTATAGCTTTGTGAGGCAGACACATATATTTTTACCCCAAGGTGAAAACACCGCATCATACACAAAAAAAAGCTGTGAAAGTATTGCAACCTGCATCTGCAACAGTTAAAGATATTGAAAAAAAGATTACAGAAGAAAGAACTACTAGGAAACGTAGGTGGAAAGACATAATGGAGACTTCAGTGGATAATACATCAGCTTTAATCCTGATGAATTCTCAGCAGAACAGCTATATCCACAGCACCAATCTTCCATCCAGGTTGCCAAACACATTTGTTTCAGAAAGGGAAAAAACCCTCAGAAATTAGAAAGAAATAAGCAATTGGTAAAACTAACACAGCTTCCTCATAGAAACAGCTTCTAGTTGCTAACTTTAACTTTGCTTAATGCAGTACACAAGTTACAAGACATGCACAGTGTACATACAGTACATGACAAAGAGCTGCAGAAGGGCTGGTTGAAGGGAAGGCTGAAATCAGGTTACCTGAAGACAATGCATTTTTATATGACAGTGGTTAGTTCAACCTGAAAATGAGTACGGTTGGATTTGTTCCAAAAATCAACCTGCAGCTGTTTAATTCACTACACTAACATCAGCAACTTTTATACAGCACATTGTCTCTTAATTTTTTTTTTTTTAGTTAAAAATCAATTGCCATACTCCTGTGATCTGACCTTGAACTGAAGTTGGTGGTCCAACTAGAAGATGACAGTATTTCCAGTACAGAAAAAGACCTTCAAGCATTTACTATGATTTTGCTTTGTCCCCTTATCTGTTACAGATGCCACCAAAAAAAAAGGCAACATATTTGCTGTATCTGGAACAGGAAGTGTCCATTATATCTGTGCACAGGCAGAAAAATCTGTTCATTACAGTACATTAATGCAATTTATTATTATTACAGCTCTCCTTTATATTCCATAGGAAAAAGGTACAATTAAGATATACCTCAGTAGGTCTGGGATACAAGATAACTTACTGAAAAATGCCAACATGAAGATGCCATCATTGCCCACTCTAAGCTGATCTGCATCACTGAAATCATCCCGTGGTGGATACTCTTCTTCCTGGATTTACAGGTTAGTGATAATTTAGTGAAAAGTTTAGAATAACTATCTATAGGATAAATCATTAATCACGTTTCTAAAGCTAGAAGAAAATTGACATTTCTGTAACATGTCCACATAAAGGAAGTTTTAAAAAAATAATTTATAACTATAAAACAAATCTTATTTGTTGTTTATATTGACAGAGCCCAAATTTTTCTGTAAAAGTTTCTGTAGAAGATACGTACATACTTGTCTATTCATCTTAAATGAAGCTAGAATTATTTCAGATCAGTACTTCAACAATTGAAAACAACATAATTCTTTTTGTTACTGTAACTATCTTGCTATGTAGCCAAACTATTAAATATTTTTTGAAAAGTCATCACACAGTATTGCTCTATACTTTTCCTGCTGGAAAGGTCTCCTAATAATTTCCTTCATATAAAATAAAAGTTATAGAATAAGGTTGGTATCTTAAAATCAAGTGCTGATGCAACAGCACTGCACTAAGCAATTTTACAACCCACAGCAAAACATAAGCAAAGAACACCTCCAGGGTCACTAGAGGGCGCAAACACATTAGAAGTATCTAAAGGGCCTCTAAACTCAAAAAGCACAGCACTTCAAGTCAAACGAAAGCAAACAGAGACATAAGTCAAAATGATCCAAATATTTATCCCATTGTGTCAAAATGCTGGACCTTAAAATAGTGAAAGTGAGAGTTGCTTTGTTTCTCAGCAGATTTTCAACAGAACTTAGCAGATATTATATATGAAGTTCTATACACAGGTGAAACATTGCTCCAGCTGTAGACAGGCAAACACAAAAGTTTTCACAATGACAACACTTCCTAAAGAGCCTGATGAAAACTAAGACCAATTAAACACCATTTTTATACTTAAATGAGTAACATCAAAACAATGCAGGATGACACAAGTTAAATAATGCTGTCAGTAGCAGCAGTAAAATGGTCTAAATAGAAGCACAGGTAACATTCTTCTCCTAATTCTTCCTGCTACTACCATAATGTATTTGAACTGACATAAAAATATACCTATAAAAACATGAAATCAAGAGAGATCAAGTGAAATTTACTTGGCTGTTTCACCCACAAGTATTTAGTACAGAAATAATGACTAAAAGGGCATTAAACAAGCACAGAGATCTAAAGCTCTGTCACATGTTCCACTTTGTCAATAGGGCAAAATAATTTACCAGGTTATGGCAATTAGGTTAAAAATGTGCTCAAACGACTGCTCTACCAAGTCAGAGCAGTCAGCTTCACCCTTAAGTAATACAGCCATGAAATTCCAGCTGTGCACTGTACTTCAGATTAATTAACCAAGACATGATATCAGATAACTTACTTAGAAAACACTGCCATCCACACAGACAATTCCAATAGGAAATGCCAGTTAAACAACAATACTAAGGGGCTATAACTCAACTCCACATAATTTCAGGTGTTCCTAAATGGTCATCTTAAGTGACTAAGAAAGCATCTCTTTAGCTCAACTTTGCTGCAGCTACAAGACTGAGGGAGAGGAGAGGAATGGGAGAGGAGAGGAAGGGGAGGGAAGGAAGGGCTGAAAAGGCATTTTAAAAAGAGCTACAATTTGGACTTTTTAAAAGCTGTCTGCTAGCAACTGTACTTCACACTGGCATTTACAGTGTGAAACAATTAGTGAATTACACTCCATGTAAAAGTTGCCTCAGAAAAATGAAAATTTAATTGAATTAAGTATGAACAAGTATTAATTTATCACACTCCATGTCAAAAAGGAAGATGAAACTGATTTCTCTTTACTGTCTCCAAAAACCAGCATACAAAAGTTATGAGTGTTTAAGAAATTAAATACTTAGAATACTAAGAAATTAGATCAGCCTATATCCACATCATTTAGGATTATGAGGTTTTATGAGCAGTCCTGCAGACAAAAAACTCTAATTTACCACTGCTCAAGTCCCACTAATATTGCCTGTCTTTCAGTGCTCTCATTTAATCTGGTTGGTGTCAATTGCCCTAGTCTTTCTTCAAAATATAATTGTTTGCCACCATGCACTGAGGAGTGAAAATGGGCAATGAAGAACAACTGTCCTCTACACTGATGCTTAAACATATATTCACAAAATACTTCTGTTAGATAATGACATTTTTATCAATATGGTATAGTTTTCTTATAAATGAGAAGAATGTAACACAACACACACAAATCTGTAAGATATGCAACACTTTTTCAGTATGCCATTGATTTTTGACAAATTTAGCCAAGTTAAGGAAGACAGACAGCATTTCTTGCTTTCTAAATATACTGACATCTGTAGGAACAGAAAACTCACTGCTCCTACGACCAGAGAAACATCTGAAGAAAAAATTATATTATCAACATAAATGGCATGTCACACAGAGTAATTTCTCTAAAAAAAAAGAACATCAAATGGTACACAACATCTATTGAAGTTGAATCTATTAAATCCCCATAAACTATAGTGCTCTCTGTAGCATTCTGCAAGAGGACTCTTTTTTTCTCCTCGATGTTTTTTAGCTTTTTTTCAAACTGAAATATAGCATATAGGAAAACAACCACCTTAATCAAGTAAAGAACTCCTAAACTGATGAAACTCTTCCCAGTGCAATGATTACAGAGAAAAACTTCTGAGGAAAGGGTTAAATTACTTAATAAACTCCATAAATTATACCTTCAGCATACAAACCAATAGGGAGAAATTAATAGTGGGGGAAAAAGGCACAATTAACCCTAGAAGCATTTTGTTTGCCAGCAGGAAAATTCATAGCAAAGTCTAAACTAGAGAGAACTATACCATACCTCTGGACGACTGAGGAATATTTCATCAAACAGACTCCTAGATTCCCTAAACTGGGCGTGCTAAGCATGTAAAAACAGAAAAACATAAGACAAATGCAACTGAAAAGCATTAAGTAAAAGCCATTCATTGCAACATACAAATAAAGTCATTAAACTGTCAGCAGTATTTTTGTCCATTTAAATTGCCCTTTCAAAACTGACCTTGAGAATTTGAAAAGAAAAAGCCAGGATAACTAATGCTATCACTACTGATGACACAGGGCTAGTACCATTTCTTTGATAAATGAGATATCTGGGAGCATTTGAAAGGAATACATGTTTATATACAATCTATTCCTGCAAGACAAGCTACACAAAGAATTATAAAATTATTGAAAGCTTCAGTAAATGTTTAGATTGTTCATATTATCTGTTAATACAGAGCCTATGATGAAGTATTTAACATGATCACATTAAGGATCGTTTTTAGTGGCGTACATGATTTGGGGGAAAAAAATGAAAGCTGCATATTAAGTGTGCTGCCCTTATATGTCATTTTCCTCTCTTTTGCTTAATGAGTAGATTTGAACCTTCACTGCACACTTTGGAGTACACCATGAAGATGATCAGCTTCACACATCACTCAAGGTAACATAAGGACATTTAACTTCTTCCAACTGTTCACATCATTGCAGTAGAGGCAATATATCCTTGTTTACAAGGAAGAAACCAGAAGCTTAGAACACAGCAGAGTTCACATTTGTAAGAGCACTGACTCCATAAGGCTGAAAATAAAAAGCGAAAAATCTACACATCTACATCATTTGTCAATGTTTTGCAAAGTGTGTAACATGCAGGTCTGATAATGTCTGCAGCTGTCACTTGTAAAAGTGAAAAACAATTGAACTTTGCACTACTGCTACATAATTAAGTTACTTATCTGTTCTTCCATGTGTATTCAGAGCTAAACCCTCCCCCTAAAGATGGCAAACCACCACTCAAACTGTAACGAAAGCCTTCTTTCTTATTCCAGCCCTCTGCCACATTAAGACAGTCTTATTACACAGTCTTAGTCTATCTCAGTGTAAGACCAGAGGTATTAAATAAGGTAGGGATTTTGTGGCAGCATCACGTGGTAAGATAATTAAAACAGCAGTAATTACAACTGCACTGGCACATAATTTTAATATCATCTACAAAACTGAAACTCAGCTTCAGCATTTCTTACTTTTTCCCCAAAGCCCAGCTTTGCAACCTTAATGCTTTTTCTCTAACACAGCTTGTGTGTGTGCGCACATTTGCTTAAAAAAAAAAAACAAAAAAAAAAACAAAAAAACAGAAGCAAACTGACCAGAATTACTGTCAAACTTGAGCTCTTCAGCATTCAGCAAGAATGTGACTTTCAGATACGCTTCTGATTCTAATTTAGTACTGCCATAAGTCTAGAACCTTACAGTCAATCTCTGCTTTGGGGGAATTGATAGCATGCTCCTAGATGATTTTTCGTAAGTGAAATTCTTGTGGTGTCAGCACGTAGTTCTTGAATTTCAAGCTCTCCTGTATGTTCCAGCAAAGCAGACTGTGAAAAAGTTTATCTCTCACTTAATCACTGTATCCAACTCTCTTGCCTCTTACCTCCAGATTCCTTTTCCCTCCCTGGTCTTCTTTTCTCACAGACCAGCTTCAGTCCCTTTCCCACCACTGCATTTTGTTCCCACTTGGGTTCCCTTTTCTACCAATCTCAGTTAATCCTTTTCCCTTCTGTTTCTCATTTAAGTATTTCTACTCTGCCCATACAATTGCCCTCCATTCACCTTTGCCTTTTCTTATTTTGACTTAGACCCATCCTCTCTGATCCCAGCTAGAGCCAGTTACCTCCCTGCTCAATCAAAACCAGACTTCTCTTCCCATAATATGTAAGGTTCAGAGGCTCAGTCATTGTCCTTCTTTCCTCCACCCACCACTGAAGAGAGCTGAATCCAGTGGCCTTCCCCTTCCCTTCTAACTGAAGGCTAAGAATAATAAAACTCTTCAGGTCACACCAGAAATTGCTCTTTCACAGGTCCAATTTTTTCACCAAAAGCAGTCAAGAGCAGCCATAAGGTGTATCTACTTTTAGTTCTGTAATTCTACTCTGATACAGAACATTTGTGAATGTTCTCTGAGAACAGAACATCTGAAGTGCCATCCCCTTCAGAACTATAGCCAGCCTAAATATTTTCATAAAAGACCATTTCTCCATGCATTTAAAAAATTTAAACACTGTATGTATCAACTAAGCAAACTCATTTTTCAAAAATTTGTGGTTTGACCAAAACCAAGTAGACTGTTGAAGGAAGGGAAAAATAGGTTTCTGTCACAGTGACCTGAACTTGTAAGAAAGAGTAAATAAAAGTTTAATATGACAAGACAAAAAAAATAGTTGTTATGTTTTGGAGTTTTGTTTGTTTGTTTCACTTAGCTTTATTCTGGAAATTGGCCAAACCTCAGTCTGAGCTGTCAAAGGAGACTGCTTGAAATTGCTGAAATTTGCATTTCATAGGGTTCTAGATGTAAGAACAAGAATCTTGCAAGAGCTGCATATCCTGTCTGCAGTGTCACAGGCACTCCACAAGTTAGGGTTCAGGTTGTTAATGCTCCAAATTTGTAACTTCAGAATAAGGGTTTCCCTCAGACCAGTATTTCAGCGAAAGTTTTACTCATGTGACAAGCAGTAAGGACAGACTACAAAGAACCCATGCTCCTGTTAGAGCAGATAAAATGTGACAATGAAGATCATCCCCTCACTGCTGAAATTTGGCAAGTCAAATCTCCATGGTTTCCCACCGAATTCAGTAAAACAGATTTGTGTGACACCATCACTGGTGATGTGACACAAACCCATTTTAACATTAGCTATGTATTTGTGCATTGTGAGCACTCTGCAGCAGTCAAGGAAGGACCTGCTTCCTGCTGGGTGAGTAAAGGGTTTTTTTCCAGTCACAAGCACACTGCAGCCAGCAAGATTTTAAATCTATATCAAATGTAAACACATTTGATCTCAAGGAGGAGATTTTTAGTGAAAGCACTGGAAGCCTTTTTTGGGTATAGTATATTATGCTCAATACTACCAAGTAGGAGAATTTCCACATTCCAAACCTTCAGAGAAAAGAAGAAACTTGCTTACAAAACTAACATTAACCACTAACTTTTGAAGATTGTGTACTTCATAAGGTTAATTCTTACAAAATTAGACACACTGAATATATGCCTATTCATTGTTTACCACAACTTATATAGGGGCTTTTTTAAGTACTAACTTAAATTCTTTGAACTTCATTTTCAGTTCAACACTTCTTTGAAATTCAGTATTTAAGTTTCCATAGATCAAATGGGAACTTTTCCTTTTAAAAACTGTCTACATGATTTGGGGTGATGACCCTTCCAGACTGTTGAAATTCTCCCTTCCTTTCTAAAGGTCTTTAGAAATTTTTTTTGGTTTTACCATCCAAAACAGTACACTTTAGTGATAACTCCACAAAATAACATTAATAAGGGATATGTAATTAAAAATTGACAAAATACTGGTTAAACTATTAAAGCAGGGCAAAAATTGGCTTTTAAAGCTGTTTTGACAGCTATGTCTTTCAAAAGACTGAATATGACATGCTTTTTATAGTATTCACAACTAACTTACACTATCTATATAAACCTAAACATCCAAAATATTTAAATCATCAGCGCACCATTATTATAGTAATGGATCATAATATGGGCCCAGTTGTAAATAATTAACCTAACACATTTCACAAAACTGAAATACAGCAGAACTGTATCACTTACTCGCTGGGCAACTTCAGCTGCAGCAGCTGCCATGGCTGCAGCTTTGGCCTTCTCTGCTTCATCATATGTAGGAAGAGAGGTAGCTACACTGTATGGAGGTGGTACAGGATAAAACTCATTGTGTGAGTCTGTTCAAAATAAAGAAGTTATTTATTTTTAAACCAGAAAGATGTCAATAATATTAGCTTTCACATGCACATAATTATTTACCTTTAAAGTATATTTTTTTTTACACAGGATATTTGGATTTTAAGTTCTTAAAAATATTTTTGACAGAAAACCTTTTAACAGCTTGAAGGTACTTTGAGCTGCTACCCAAGGCAGAAACCTTAACATAGATGCTGGCAAGGAATCAATAAATTTATGAAGAAAAGAATCATATTTGGTTAGGCATTCCCACCAAATGCTTTTTATCCAGTCATACAAAAGATATATACACAGTAATCTTTCAAAGAAAAAAAGCTTTTAAATATCAGTATCAGTCTGTTACTTCAGTCTGGTAGTAGTCATGCTGTATGGTTATTAGTGTAGCCTTGTTGCCAATTCCAGCTGCTCTCTAAAAATCAGTTTTTCCAAGATTTCAATTTCAACACATTCTTTTAAAAATTGTTCCTTCCGTCAAAATGGATCACAGATTTCATTCTTCTGTTACAACAGTAAGACATCACCATACAGAATAGAATGATAAACAATATTAACTAAAAGAACTTAAAATATGCCTTGAGCTTCCTCCTACAGCAAGCAGTAGCTTGTTAAAAGGCTGTTTACGTGGTAAAGATTTGTCAGCACAGGTCACATGGTCAACAGATTTGTCAGCACACCAACACAAGGATGTTATATATAGGGATAATTCCACACAGCTATGTATTACACTTGCAAACACTGTCTCAAAGAACAGGGACAGGAAACTGTTCTTTCAACAAACATTAAAAAAATTAGCTTGGCAGTTACTCCTAAAATATTTATTTGGCATATGGGAGATAAATCCATGCAACTTTACTTAAACAGAAACTCCCATATCCACAAGAAAAGTCAAAATCTCCTAAGAAAAGGAGCAGTGAATAAATGAATAAAGAGACCCATTACTCATTTTTCATGAGAAGTTTTATCAAGAACCTTTAAAGCAAAATTAACCTTTTCATGGCAATATTTTCACCAAACCATGTCACACACTAAAGAAGTCTGAAGATTTTTTATAAAGAGGCAATGAAAATTGCTAATGAGGTCTAATAATGGAGCACTACTCAAAGATGTAGATTAAAAATGGAAATCAACTAAAAGCAGACAACCTATTAAACTAATTAATGAACATCCATTTTGTGTAGCAATTTGGAATAATCAGAGTAATTTACAAGAGTGTTTCTTTTGAACAAACCAAAGGGCGGCACATCAAAGGACAGTTTTTTACTGAAATTGTGTGTGAAGAAAAAAATACATGGCAGCATCAGACCAGTTTGAACCAAGGGCTGATTCACACAGGCTCATCCCTGACAAGCTGCTATTTGAGAAAAAATACCTGAGGTTGCAGCTGCTTCCACAGCTATGCTACAGTAAGGAGGAGGGGAAGTATCTGCCTCGGGTAAGGCTGCTGTCTGCGGAGGCTGCGGAGTCTCTGCAGACGTCGAGGGCTGCTCAGCTGCTGAAGACTCTGGGGGGTCATCCTCATTGTGGAGCTTAGGAGAAAAACACACACATTTCAGAGGCATTCAGGGAATACTTCCCATGACAATATAATACTTGCAGAGACATGTTCAAAGAGACAGGATTACTCTCATCAACAAAACAAATTATTTACAAAACAGCACATGACCACTTCAAGTAGACCAGCTAAAGTCTTTTAAGCAATCAGCTAAATATTATCTTAACCGCCATGCCTTTTTTTCTTCCTATGAATGGTTTTCTTCTCAGTGATTTTCAGGGAGTCTTAAAAATCTGGAGTTTTCCATGTTTACCACATGGGAAAATACTATTATATGAATATTTTAATACCATTATATTTTTGTTCCTAGGTACAGTCATAAAATGTATTAACCTATTTTAAAATCCATCAGATGAGAAATATTGTTTATTGTATTTATCTAGAAGAAAAACAATTAAAACACTTCTACTTCTGTAACTGGGCCTTTCATTCTCTTGCATCTTGTCAAAGAGCTTCCCCATGCAAATTCTAAGACTTCTCAAAATATTCTGCTTTTCTTTACACTATGGAAACAATCCTTTCCCTACAAAACTTCAAGTTGCTGGTTTCTTTTTTTTTTTCTTGATTAAGATGCAGTTTTTAAAACACATGTACAGTAAAGCATATACAGAAATAAGAATTCAGAGAAGGAATAATATTGATTAAAACTGTGGAATTCAGATACAGCATCTTTTTTTAGAAAAGACATTTTTGATTATTTTAGCTAACTTGATAGTTCTTTGAATGTATCAAGCTTTAAAAAAGAAAGAGTACTAGAATTTAAAAAGTTCCAGTTCCCAGCAGTGTGAATTACTAGATAAGATGCCTAGAAGGCAAGAACTGAAGCACATGTAAAATCCAGACCAAAAAACAAGATTAAGTTAAACGTATCTAAAAGAAGAATTATATAACCTCAAATTGGTACTTTTTACAAACACCCTACAACAAATTATTTCCTATTAGATAAAGTACAATCAGATTACTGGGAAAAGTGCCTTCTGAGAAGAATGCTGTATTTCTTATTAAGCAGTATAGCACTCACACCAAAATTGTTTTAATATGGAGATTATATCAAAATCCACAGAACGGTTGAGGTTGAAAGGGACCTCTGAGCCCATCTACTTCAACCTCTCAAGTCCTGCTCAAGGAGAAGCACCATGTATGAAACTGGATGTATGAGACCACATCCAAGCACCTTTTGAATACCTTCAAGGATAGAGACTACACAGGCTATGTGGAAAACCTGTTTCAGTGCTCAGTCACCTTCACATTACTAAAAATAAAGAAAAGAAAAAATAAAAAAAATGTTTCCTGATGCTCAGAGGTCACCTTCAATATAAATTATAGGTATTTTTGAGGGTTTCTGGGCCCTGAGCAATCAGGTCAGTTAATGCCTAATCAGTGATCCAGAAGTAGCAGTAATATGAGAAATATTTTTAGCCATTTCGAGTAGTTAAAGCCAAAGAAAACAAAAGCACTTCAAAACAATCTAATATATTCTGGGATACAGAAAGCAAGTGAGAATACAAACCACTCAACTCTAAAAAGGTCAATCAGATCAGTAAAGCAAGCTGAGAGCTAAAAATTTAGGTTCTAAATTAAATACAATAACTCACAAGAAAAATCTAGTACTGTAATGCATACAGAAAAAAATAAGCCCATTCTTAAAAATAATTTGATTAAGTAAGGTGTAAAGAACAAAAACACTACTGGCATAGTTCTTAAACTAATGGCTGGTACACTGACCCTCACTGGGGATGTGTGTATAGTTCTGAGTACCCCACCAAAACAATCTGGTCTTTGAGCAGGAGAAAAAATAAAGCAAACTTAAATGGACCTCTGTTACTTCTATTCTTCCTCTCCCGCCCTCGTCCATCACTGCAATTTTCCCCTACCACACCACAGTAAATGATGTCACTATTCTGAAGATAGAGAGATCCACAAATACATCATTGGTCAGAGTATATTACTCTGAAAAACTTAGCCATTCCCCAGAAATTTAATGTTACATTTTCTACATGCTTTCTTGAAACTTGTTTTACTCCAAATTATCTCTAATATACTAATAGCAGAGTAATTTAGTAGATGATAGAGTTAACATGAAGATCAGACAAGAACATGTACATGAGACTTCTTGCCTTCAAAGACAAAGTTAATGAGTCATTCAATGGTTACAGCAACTGCAATTTGGAAATGGAAAAATTCCATCCTAAGGGTTCTTTACAAAAGAGACCTGTTAAACCCTTCAGTGCCACTCAAAGTGCCTTTATTTTGTAAGGCTTATATTTAGGAACCAAGTATTTCTATTTATCCTCTCTTCTATTATAGAGGACTGTCAGAAATTCTAAAAAGCACCAAGGTTATCCTAATGCAGCAACTTAAAGAAAAATCTTCACCCCTTTTATTAAAAAAAAAAAAAAACAAACACCCACAATAATTGGATTAAGTAGCTTGAGTGGTTACAGCTAGAATAATAAACACAAGTAGCTCCATGAACACAAACTAGCTTTTGTTAGTTCTTGTTCATGTGTCCTGTATCCTACTCTCTCCTCAAGGTAGTAACTTCAGCTCCTTTCAGAGCACTGCTTTGCTGGGTTAAAAAACACCAAAACAAAACCCCCCAGCTGCAGCAGAACTTCGCCCCAGTAAAGTGGAAATTTTGCCTGCACCAGCAGGGTAGACAGCAGTGGTTATATCATTTTGCCTTGTAGCAACTCTGCCTTGTCTTCACAGAGCACTGACTCTCCTCTCTGGAGTCACCAGCTTGCTTGAAACCAGTAGGAATCCAACTATCTTTGAGCCTCCCCCTTCACGTTTAATTTTGGCTTCTACTGGCGGTAAATTTAGAAGTTATTTTTGGAGACAAGGGAAGAAGAGGCCCGACACCCTTCATAGGCTTCATTGCCATAGAAACCAAGCTAAAAACACCCAGAAAGGAACAGAAAATGTCTGTTTCAAGGCCTTACTTATGTTATGCACTTAAATGTCACCTGAAGAAGCATTTAACATTGAAAGTATATAAATAGTATCCAAGATCTTCTTTGTCCAATAGTAAGAATCTTTCACCTAATTTTTAACTGAAGGACTAAGGAAAAATCACAGTTCATCATCTCAGCCCGTCCCAAGCCTCCAATGAACCATTATTTGGTAGCAGGCAACATAGCTGCTTTTGTCAAGATTATGGTTAAAACAATTACCAAGACCTATTAAACCACAGACAGCTGTAAATTAGTACCTTCCCCTATTCCCTCCCTCACATTTTAAAAGCGGGTGACACTGAAATTTTTTACCTTCATGTTTTACTCTGTATTTGGGGTATCTGGCTGACTATATGGAGCTTCACTACAAAAAGTGAGTACTTTGCTATTAGACACATTACTCTTAAACTGTTAATGCCAGTATTCCAATCCCTGCTTTTGCAGCCCTCAAACTACAGTACATTACAGGCTCATATTCTCAAAAAGTATCTATGATAGAACATATAAAATTCAAAGATCAATTGAGCAGCAACGCCTGTTCCGCCGACAATGACTCAATCTCATGGTACCTACAAAAGGGTGAAGAGCACAGGAAAATATAACAGTTTCCTTCATATGATTTATTACCCTATATCATCTTCAGTTTCCTTCCCAGAAAAGATCTACAAAACAGTGACTCACTATTTCATTTCAGAAGAAGCTAAAATCAATGCCAGACCTTTCAGCACCAAAATATTGTAGAAAATACAGCTATCTTTATTTACTACTTCTACATTAATAATTTCTTTTAAAAATAAATTATTTTTATACAATGTAAACAGTTATTCCTTCTACAATTTATTTACTTGAGTCTGTTATTTTGTATAATTATTTCCAAAGTAATCAGATGCAGTATCTGAAATCAGCTGACAGCTTACAAAGAAACATGACCCACAAGAAAGTGCTTAGAACAGAAGCTTTTACTGAGGGGACAGATGCAGACACTTTAAATGTTTAGGCTTATCAAAATAAAAACTACAAGTGGAGGAACTCTTTCTCTACTTAACACTTTTTATCTATCTGCAGATAGTAAACTGCCTCTGACCTACAGATGTTTGCTTTCCGGGCTAAACAGAGTTCGCTTCATTTCTGATGAACTGATTGTACAAGAGTGGCAATATAAGCAAGCTATTCAATTATGCCATTAAAAAAAAAAAAAAAACAATCAGGGGAGAAGGATATAATAAGATGCCTGTTATCTTTTGTACCAAAAATACACAAGATTAGAATTATGCTTTCTGATAAAGTGTATTGAAGTAGCTGCTAATTCCAGTCATATTGTACAAACACCACTCAGTTTCTTTTACCTGATTTTACATTTCAAAAGCTGCTCTTTACTCCTTTCATACAATATGATTCATGGAAACCGGTACATTATAAAATTATTGCAACACAACTTGAGCATATTAACAGCCTATTGCACACATTTTAAAAATCCTTTTTTTTAAAAAACATGTTTTTTCATGCTGCTTACATAATTTCTTGAGTGTAGCACAAAATTATGCAGGGGATACTGCCATACAAATTTAAAAAATAAAACCCCAAAGAACTAGCCAGCTTTCTTTTCCTATTTCTTTTAATACCTTTATTACCAGATCATCTTGTCAAAACGTGACTTTTAGGTAAATTTTAGCTGTGATGGCTCTGTCTGGGGCACCAGAGAGCAACACAAAATTCTCATTAGCAATCATAAGTTACAAAGCACTTTTAACATGTCCTTCTTTCTACCTTTCAAATGAAGTTACATTTTTGAAGAAGCTTTGACCTTACACTGACGAGCTCATAGGTTCCTCCAAGCTGTATTAAAACTAATACAATACACAGAAATTCCATGATGTTGGGCCTAATACTTTGCTTCAAGTAAAACTGTGGAGACAACCAAATAAATCATGCAAGTTCAACCTTTGTATGCAAAATAGTCCACTGATACATTGATTCCTTCACAAAGAGCAACAACTCTCACCAACTGAGATTTATC